ATCCGAAGTAACATCGCTATAGATCAATCATCAATCATCACAAAGTGTTACTTTAAAGCAGATGCATACATCATGCCGTTGCATTGTAAATTAGTGAAAATCAACACAAATTGGTAGGATTAGCATGCAATTTCTTACCATATACTTTACTGACAACAGATATATAAGGACCATAAGGTAATAAATAGGACATGACTGGCAGCTCTTTATAACTCGATCGTAAATCTAACTTCACGAGCAGAGAGAAACGTACAAAGGTCTTCTGGCTGATGATTTGGGTTCGAAGCCTCACCTATTCTAATTGTTTGATATTAGATCTTTCTTCAATATTCGCGTCTTATGTTCTTTTTTTTTTTAAGAATACACACACATTGAGACATGAGTACTATATATATAAATATGTAGGCACCGGATAGGCGGTAAAAAACTACTACTCGTACGTAGATGTTACATATTGCGAAGCTTTTCCTTCACTTCATTGCGCATAGACGACAGAATGAAGAGGGCAATACAATATGCTGAAACAGCACCCGTTATCACCGTCCTGTTGAAGCTTATCCGTTCTTCATATCGTTTAACCAATTCATCAAAATTCTGAGGTGGATCGTATTCAAAATAATTGCCCCAGCGCCGCCCTGTAGGAGCTTCAGTCTTGGCAAATGTCGTGCCGCCCAGCTTATTATTATCCTACAGTTCCATCAAGGAAAGGGATAATAATAATAATAATAATAATAATAATAATAATAATAATAATAATAATAATAATAATAATAATAATAATAATAATAATAATAATAATAATAATAATAATAATAATAATAATAATAAACTACGATGAATAAACATCAAAATTAACACTTCTCTACTATTATAAAAACTAGAAAAGATGCCCGTGCGTTGCAACGGGTAGAGAAAATTTAATTTGTACATGTGTTGCAATGGATAAATAATCACATCGTATTGTTTCATTTATTCATGTGCTTATTCGAATCACTTATTATCAAATAAAAGACTATTTGTGCGTGCAAATCTTTTATATACATGTTCTTAGCGACACAAAAGCGAATGTTGTAAAATAAAGTATAATAAAAAACCAAAAAGTCGAATTTAAAGTTAAGTTCTAAAATTTAAAATTTGACTTCTAGGATTGAATAAGCCAAACAATTAGGCTTTCAAACACGAGCTCGATTTGTCATCCAGCTTGATCACAAGTCGGATAGGAATTGATGATGGACATAATTAGCTGGCCTCATTGGTTCGCTGTTGCTGAGGCTGATTCTCAGCAAAAGCCCATCGGTTCACTTATTGGGCTGAATAAGCATCAGCCATTGGTAGTGGGTCCAATCATTCCCGACTCTTTTCTACGGCTGATGGAAATGCTTATGCCGATAAGCATCAGACTGCTTATGCTGAGAAGCAACAACATAAGCCAATTGATGGATCCGAGCAACTTCGATTATTCTTTATTTTAATTGGCATGTTCTTTTTGAAAGTAAAACAATCACGGCGGCACGCAAAGACGCGTGTGGAAAACGGACTCAGGAGCAGACCCAATTAAGTCGCGTGCGTATTAGAGGGACACTATATAGTAAGAAAAAAGAAAATGATTTGACAAAAACATAAAATTAAAAACGAAACATAGAATTAAAATCGATTCAAATACGGATGAAGTACTAAAATTCTGGCGGAAACGTTTTCAATTTTTATAATAGTAGAGATAATAATAATTTATAATAGTAGAAATACAGATGAAGTACTAAACCGGTATTTTGGTACGTCATCCGTGTTTGAGTCGATTTTTTAATTTTATGTTATCTCTACTACTTAAATTTCCGCTGTATGTTAAAAGAGGAAAGAAAAAAGTCCGACTCAAATAGGTAAAAAAAGAAGATCGCGCCTCCCTGGCGCTTTTGGTTTTTTCCGTAATTTTTTTTTGTCGTCGGTTTTTTCTCCTATGCGCTTTTGGTTTTTTCATCTGGCTTTTTAATCCGATCTATTCGCCGCACACCTCTTATGTTTGAACCCTAGCGCTGCGCCGCCGCCATATCGATTGTGCGTTTTCTCCTCCAATTTGATTGCAAAAATCGACTCCCCACTCCTCCCTCATCATTTTCTCCGTTATTTTCCTTTTCGATTCGGTGGATTTAATCTCCGTTTAACAGTTGCAGATGATGACGGCGATCTTCCATGGTCGTTTTTATTCCGAGTTTTACACTAATTTTGGAAAAAAAAGGAAAGAGGAGTGGATTAGAAACCCTCAACCAATTTTGGATGATCGAGAAAGATTTGACCGGATTTGATGGGAACAAATAGTTTTACACTCTGATTTTGGAAAAAAAACAGAAAGAGAAGATCGAATGATCAAAAACCCTCAACCATAATGTGATCGAGAAAAATTCGACTAGATTTTATGGGCTGATTTGCTTTGGCAACCGTACGGCCCAGATTTAATGGGGAGATTTGCTCTGGCAACCGAACGGCCACTTGACTATCTTCGGGAGGTTGATGATGGTAGTAGACTATGTGAGCTACACTACAGCTCCACTTGTGGCAGATTTGCGCTTACGGCTCCACTTGTGGCTGGGTCGAAGGGAAGCAGGCCAAACGGAGGGAGGTAGTAGACTGGCTGAAGATGGTAGTAGACTGTGCGAGCTGTGCTTCGGCTCCACTTGTGGCTGGGTCGAAGGGAAGCAGGCCAAACAAAGGGAGGTAGCGGACTGGCCTAGGGCTGAAAAGGAAGGAAGTCTATCGACCCAACCCAGGAAAGATTTTCATTAACTTTTTTTTATTATAATCTATAGTGATCCCAATGTTAAAATTCTCATTAACGTGATCCCAATGTTAAAATTCTCATTAACTTTTTCAATTATAATGTATATAGCGATCCTAATATTTCAACTTATTGCTCAGCTCTTAATATATCAGTGAAAAACGTCTTTACCCATTGCAACACACGGGCATTTTTTCTAGTAAAATATAAATATATATGATTACCGTCGTCATCCTCGCAAACCGCCTCCGTTCTTGTTCCAGTTCATCGATAAGCCGATCCCGATCTTGGCAACCCTTACAACCAGTAGTGTTGCGAGAAGTACTCCAGCTGCTCATCATGAGCTTATTATCCTATACATTCAGAATTACAGATACAGTTCCACGACGGATTGAACAAGAGATCAAGAACACATATATATCAGACATGGCGGATTGAGAATATATATGGCCGGATCGGAGGGAGAGAATTGAACGAAGAGAAGAAAAGAAACGAACCTGGTGGTGGAGAGAACGCGGCGGTGGCCGCCGGCGGAGAGTCGTCGTCGTCGTCGTCCTGGCCAGAGACAGGGACAGAGAGCGCAGCGCCGCCATAGCCATGCCGATCTACCGATCGATCGACGAGACCGTACGTACGTTTATACGTTGCGTGTATACGGGTACGTTCGGTTCTCCGAGTCCGTCACCAATTCTTTCTTTTGCTTGTTTGGGCTGTAAATTACGGCCTTTTTTTTTTGTTTTGTTTGGACTGTAAATCAAGTTCGATCTTGCAGCCCATTGGTACTATGCGTAAGCCATCAAAAACGCTTTAACTCGGTCGTTCGATACCACCACAAAAATCGGACGCTCCACACGTTTCTCCACTTCTCGCACCACAAGTCCACAACTCCTCCTCCTCGTTGTAACTGCCCCTTCTTCAATTCCCCGATTCTTCTCTCTCGCTCCGTCCCTCTCTCTCGCCACACGCCACCATCGTCAGTCGTCGAGACGCCGCCACCGCATACCTCTTGGCTCCTAGGAAGCCTTCCTGTTCTTCTCCTTTTCAACTCGTGTACTCTTCCTCCTCTCCCACCCTCAGCTCTCCCAACATGGGTGTTCCTCCGGCTAGATCTAGCCATCCCTGACCTCGAGTATCAGATCGACAGATCCGGGGCGAGGCCACCATAGAGATGGGGAGAGAGGCACGAATATGGCTTCAGCTTGGGAGCTTCTTGCAACCACCATCTCCGTCAGAGCAGGTGAAGAAGCAGATGCTGGTGCTGACAAAGGTGAGACTGGTGTGCCCGACTAGTTGGGCAAGAATGTTGCACGCCATATTCTTTTGATGTTGCGCACAATATTTACTTGATGTTGCGATCAGTCTCTTTTGGATGTTGCATAAATTGGTACAATAATTTCTTGATGTTGCAATATTCTGGTTTTGTGTGTTGCAACAAGTGTTCTTGAATGTTGCATGTGATTAAAACATTTTTCGATAGAGCAATTAAACATTCTTGATCAAGTCATGGAACATGCTAAAACAATTCTCGTCGAAACATTTTCTCATCGAATTATGAACATATGAAACATTTTTTTGCATGTGCTGGAACTTGTCCGATGTTTCGCCTTTCATCGGACGTTCGATTTGTAGCGCTCTCCGTAAGCCATCCCTTTGTTTGTCTTGTTTGTTTGGGCTTTCTGTATATTAAGCTCTCTAGCTCTTTCCTGAAGCTCATCAGCACTCTACAGTACCCATGCTCATCAGTAATCAACCAACCAACCAAAGGCGATTGCTCGCAGATCAGCAGCTTCAAGTTTATTCAACATACGCGCGCGCACACACAACATATCTCTATCTCTACTATTATAAAAATTGAAGATGTTTTTACCAGTACTTTAGTACATCATCCGTGTATGAGTCGGTTCTTAAGTTCGTTCGCTTGTGTTAATACATATCCGTATTTGAATCGGTTTTTAAGTTCATTCGCTTTTGCAAATACAGAAGGATCGCTTGTGGAAATTCATGTCCATATTTGAGTCGATTTTTAAGTTCGTTCGTTTTTGGAAATACAAAAGGAGTCATATAAGAAATCTGTTTAAAAAAACTCGCATGCTAACTTGAGATGCTTGGACAGAAACTGCAGCTCATGATTTTCTAAAAATATATATATCCAAACGAATTCCCACGGTGAATTTCATCTTAACTAAACCATATAAAAATAATAAGTTTAAAATAGCCTTCATCCGTTGCACGCACATGTGTGTAAGCACTTTATCATTCACAAGCCTCTACATGCTTGTAAGACGCCGCCGCCGCTCCAGGCATAGTATGGGTCGGGCACCCCCTCCGTGGGGGCGTCGTGGCCGCCGCCGTAGAGGTAAGGGTTAGGAGATTTGCTCCAGTCCAACAAAAAGTACCGGTACCTCGCAGTACTAAATCATTTTCTATCGTTTGATTTAGTTGGACAGGATGGGCATTGTTAGATTCAATGATCGGAAACGATTGATATCGTGAGATACCTGTACCTCGGGATACTTTTTGTTGAACCGAAGCAAATCTCATGTAAGAAATCCAACAACTTTAAAGAACATTTGAACACAAACGAAGAAGAAAACTTACTAGCTACCCATCCATCTCACCTTTAGGAACCATGCATTACTTTTGCCTACTATGTAAGTATGTAGCGTGGTCAAGGATGAGGCATGGTGGCGCCTAAATTGGCCGTCATCTTCCTCCGGACAGACCTGTGATCGTGGTGACCACCGAGGGAGAGTAGTCTCCAACTTGGACCTGGTCGACGTCTTTGATGCAGAGATAATCCGGCGAGAACTCCGGCAGCGGCACGTCGCCGTCGAGGTACTGCATGACGAGGCGCATACCGGGCCTCGCGGCGGGGAGCGGGTGCGAGCAGAGCAGCCCGAGCTTGAGCACCAGCTCCGCCTCCTCGCCGGAGTACTCCTCCAGCCTCGGGTCCATGGTGTCGACGACGGAGCCGCCGCCGCCCGCCGCCCACGCGTCGCGCACCCACTCGACGAGCACGAGCAGCTCGCCGCGGGCGTTGTGCCCCATCGGCCGGCGCCCGCACGCCACCTCGAGGACGAAGGCGCCGAACGCGAACACGTCGGTGGCCTTGGTGGCCTTGCCGAACCTGGTGAGCTCCGGGGCGAGGTAGCCCCTGGTGCCGGCGACGTGGGTGGTGTGCGCGTCGGCGCCGTGGTCGTGCAGCCGCGCGAGGCCGAAGTCGCCCAGGCGGCCGTTCATGTCGGCGTCGAGGAGCACGTTGCTGGCCTTGACGTCGCGGTGGACGATGACCTGCTCCCAGTCGTCGTGCAGGTAGAGCAGCCCCGCCGCGACGCACTTGATGACGTGAAGCCTCTGAGGCCAACCCAGCGTCCTGCAGTTGCTGGAGTACGTGTGCTCGTGCAAGTACTTATCTAGGCTGCCGTTGGGCATGTGCTCGTAGACCAGCAGCAGCTCCTCCTTGTGGCGGCAGTAGCCGAGGAGGCGAACGAGGTTGCGGTGGCGGAGGCGGCCGAGGATGATGATCTCGGCCGTGAATTGCGTCATACCATGCCTGGACTCAGACGAGACACGCTTGACGGCGATGGGCATGCCGGACGCGGAGAGAACGCCTCCGTAGACGCGGCCAAAGCCACCCTTCCCCAGCAGATGCTTGAACCCGTCGGTGGCGCGGCGGAGGTCTCGGTAAGCGAAGCGGCGAGGTCCCAGCTCTGCTTCCCAGTTTTCCCGACTCCGGGCGTTCTTCTTCCAGCACCACCGGAGCACAAGACACGCTGCCATGGCTGCAAGCACGGCGAGCACTGATGCAGCTGCAGGCAACCATGTGACGAAGCTCTTCCTGTTGGCTCGTCTACTTCTGCTATAATCCTGACCCTGATGAGCTCGTTTCAGGGGCAGCAGCGAGTAGTCGAGTGGCAATCCACCGTTGCTAAAGCTCCAGCCAAGAACTTGATGGGTGGCGCCAGCGCCACCGGGATCACCACCCGTCGAAGCGGTGAAGCCGAAATATGCTTTGGTCGCCATGGGAGAATCGTCGGCCGCCGACAGCAATCGCGAGAGGCTGACGTTGTAAGACAGTAGCGGCACGGAGGGCATGAACATGGGGACGAGCGCAAGCGTGACGTCGAGCCGGGCTGCTCCGGCGTCGTAGCTCACCCACGCCTGCATCGGGTCGCCGCTGGAAAGCTTGAGCGCCTGAAAGCTAGAGTTGCCGACGGCTCCTTCGTCGTCGTAGATGTACCCTGCAGGTCTAGACAAGTTGGACGTCAGGCTGTTGAAATCAATGGCGACATGGTTGCCGTTCGTCGCGTCCGGGTCTGCGACGGTGTCGAGCTCTATGGCGACGAAAGGGTTTGACGATGCATCGTGCGGGTTGGCAAGGCCCAGGTACGCCGGCGAAGAGGCGGCCGGGAAGTCGGCGGTCGAGGAGATGACAAATGTCATCCCATCCCCGCAGCTGCCGGAGCCGGAGCATGTGACGGCGAAGACGAAGGTGGAGGTGAAGGAGCGGGTCTCACCACCGGTGTACTGCAGGGGAATAGGGTAGGGATAGAAGCAGCGCCCCTGCTGCTGGGCGCCGCTGCTGCCATTCGTCAGGGAGAGGATCCCATCTTCTCCCACGGAAGCGGCGCCGTCGAGGAGGAGGTTCCTGGCGCCGCTGAATCCGTTGTATGTGAATTCAGGAAAGGTGGCAATTACCATCATCACGAAATTCATCATCAAGAGCAAGACGAGACTGGGCATGGTGGTGCTGCAGCCTTGCCTTAATTCTGTTATTGCTGGATCTTGAAACTTAACTTTCTAGTGCACTTGGATCAGTTGTTTATTCATCATGACTGTTCTCTATATGTGAGTTTGTTTCATTGGACTGCCTTCGTCAATGGTCGTCGACCCAAGTCAGTCAACAACAAAGTCTATCAATCTATATCATACCCACTATCAGCGCCGTTCAATAAAGGTTATCCGTTTTGATCAAAGTAATATCGTATCGTAGGATCGGGATACTATAATTTTTTTTAAAATTCAATTAATATATGTATTAATTACATATAGTCATTATATATAAAAAAATATAGTAATAATATATATCATACAAATAGAGACATTTATTAAGAGAAACCACATTAGTTTTGATATATTTAACTGATTTTTATATAAACTTGAGCATATTTATTTACATTATTTTCAAACCATCTTATTTTAAATAATATTTTGTAGGATCGTAGAATTAGGATATTACCCAAGATTTCGTAGGATCGTGTAATAATGAATAGTACAATCGAGATACTATGGAAATTAGGATACAAGATGTGATCGGTATCATTCCGGGTTGGTAGGATTGTATAGTATCCTAAGATACTATGATATGGATCGGGATACTGACAACATTGCGTTCAATGTATGTCACCTTTTTTTTTTGAATAAATATATACCAACCCATGAATCCATGATTAATCAGTTCACCAGTTGTTCCTGCCCTACACCCCTGCCGATTACGACAATTACCCGTCCATCACTTCACAAATTTTCCTCGCAAACTTGTCTGGTAATCCATAGTCATCAGATCAGGCGAGTGACCGTTAAGACCAGGGGTGGATCTAGAAAAATATAGTAGTGGGGGCTGAATAAACTACATCAGCATAAATCAAACCTCCAGTCCCTATATCCTATGGATCTATGGAAAAAAAATTAGTGGGGCTTAGGGGGGTCTCCACTGTCCCGGGGCGGTAGTGGGGTCTCAAGACCCCTCTGCCCCCATTGTGAATCCACCCCTGGTTAAGACTTAGGTCTATCATGAGAACAGAAAAACTCCGGTCTATCTTGGTGACTGGAATGGCCACAGAAGGAGGCAATGAATACCCCTTCGTTCTCGAGTCTTCTTTCCCCTTTCCCCTTTCTACAGTAGCCCTCCCCGTTTCTCCTGCTCTCCGGCCCCTCTTCCTCCTCGATTCCGGCGGCTTGCCGCCGGCGAGGGTTATAGGGGTCCGGCCACCTCCCCTTACTAGTATTGTGTGGTTAGGTCTGTTATTAGGTCGTCAGGTTCTTCCTATTGTTAGGGTTTGTCTCTAGTTGGTGCTTTTGCCGGCTAGCTCCATGGGTGCCGGAGTGGTCGGAGGTGGTGATGGTTGGTGGCAGTGGAGGTGCGAGATCCGAAGATCTGTGGGCAAATCGTCGGCTGGAGCTGGCTCCTGGTGGCGGCGTCGGCAGCGTCGTCATCCTCGGCTGGGAGGTCGCCGCCTTGTCCCTTGCGTCGGCTGCGGTGGCTTCTCGTGTCCTTCGTTGGTCCCTCCTCCTCGGCTTCTTCCTTTGGTTCCCCTCCATCAGTCTCACCTGCGCCGGTTGTTGTTGTCGTTGACCTCATCGATGATGGTCCTGGTGCTGGGTGGTCTTGTGGAGGAGGCCATGTTTGGAGTTCTGGAGGCGGCGGTGGATGGGTGTATGCTCTTGCCAGACTCTTGTAGACTCTTGATGCAGACTTCATCTTCCCCAGCCAACTTCGTCGTCTCAGCAAGACAGGAGGATCTTTGCAGCCACTACAACGCTCGCATGATGAAGGTTGATTGGTCTTTGGTTCAGTCTTCTCTTTTGTGCCTGATTAGCAGAAACCATGCCGAGTTTGTCATTCGGGTTGAGCTCGGACCACATGCGCGATTTCGGTCAACAGGGTTTTTGTTAGAGTTCCTCAGATTCAATGACGAGCTCCGTGGAGATCCTTTGCTGTGTCCGGTGAAGCTCACACCAATATCTACGGCTCAGCATCACACCTCTGTCCTGTGCTGTTTCTGTGGAGGCAGCCGAGATGGGGATTACCGGTTTGTCAAGCGGTTTGCACGTCTTATGAGGCTCTAGGTAGCAGTCGTTGCGACATTGCCGTAGCTCCCTATCGACTTGCTCCTTTTCTGCTGCTCAGTTCCATTAGGAAGTCTACTTCTTTAGTCCAATTAACCTCCCTTTTCAAAAGGGTGGCTCTTTGCTTTAATTTGTTATCTTCTGGCAACATAATGGGGTTTATCCCCTAACTTATGTTATTGCTTTTATTATCTATATGTGTTTCAGAAAAATAGTCTATCTTGGCAACTTGTCTACGACAAGATAGACTATTTTTCTGAAACACATATATATAATAAAAGCAGTAACAGAAGTGACGGACACGTAATTGTCGTAAGCAGTAGTAGGAGTGTATAGGGCAGGAACAGTTGGTGAACGGACAAGAACAACTGGGTCCAATCAATTAAATTAGTTGGTGGTTTTTTTTATTGACAATTGCATTCATGCTCTCACTTTGAATCTCAACTGCTGTTTTACCATCAGTTTGTAGGGTTTGTATTTTTTCCCTCTCTTTTTGAAAACAAACCAATTATTTTGTCCTCACTTTTGATGCCTAGTTTGACGGTGTTAGTTTTAGAGCAAAAGAACATTTATACCCTTGATTGTTGTTGTATTTTTGCACCAACTTTTATGCCGACTGCCTCACCACGCAAGGGAGATGAAACGCAGCTGCCGCCACGCCGAAGACTTGCTGTCGACTCACACTTGAGTGCCACCGTCGCCGCGCCTCCCGCCGGAACCGCCGCCGTCACCGCGCACACGTTAGTTTCGCCGCCATCGCCGCGCTTCTTGCCGGAACCATCGTCAGTGTCGCCGCGCGTTCCGCTGGAGCCGCGGCCGTCGCACACGAGTTCCAACGGAGCCGCCGCCGTCGCTGCGCACGCCGATGCTGGAACCGCCGCCGCCTCCTCTAGAGTTTTGGGATGTTGACCTGAGCTCTGTGAAGGAATGGGTGCTTGGATCCTTATCCATTCACTAAGGGTACAACAGTAATTTAATATTTCATAAAATGAATTTTCTATTTCTATTTGTGTTTTTTATCCCAAAACCGTGGGACCCATCTAACAGGGTTAAAAGTGAGGGCAAACGGTGGGTTCGTTTTTAAAAAGATGGGATACAATTGCAAATCCTAAAAAGTAAGAGTAAAACAACAGCTGGGGTTCAAAGTGAGAGCGTGGATGCAACTGTCCCTTTCTTTCATAAATAAATAAAAATAAAAATTAACACTTAAAATATATCTAGTTACCATCGTAGTTTATTATTATATATTCATCGTAGTTTATTATTATTATTAAATATTCCTTTCCTTGATGGAATTGTAGGATAATAAGCTGGGCGGCACGACATCTCCCAAGACTGAAGCTCCTACGGGGCGGCACTGGGGCAATTATTTTGAATACGATCCACCACAGAATTTTGATGAATTGGTTAAACGATATGAAGAACGGAGAAGCTTCAACAGGATGGTGATAACGGGTGCTGTTTCAGCATATTGTATTGCCCTCTTCATTCTGTCGTCTATGCGCAATGAAGTGAAGGAAGACCTTCGCAATCTTTGTAACAACTACGACTAGTAGCAATTAGAGGTAAGAAGTTCATTACAAAAGATTGATAGATTGTAAGGGGGAGGAGAAGATCTGTTTCCAAACAGAGATTACAAATTGATCATCTTCCGTTAAGTTCTCTGCCCAGAGAGCTGCCTCGGTGATGCATCGTTGTAAGGCAGGCTCTTAGTGAGGGGCTTTTCCCCTGGAAAACAACATCGTGTCGATGATTCCAAATAGCCCACATGCAAAGCAGGAAGAAGACCTGCCAGTGTAGCGCCAGCACTTGCATAGTTGGACCCAAACGATGGAACTGCGTGATGTCTTGAGCTTGCGGTTGAATGTTGATCTGCGTCCAGAAAGCCTGAGCGAACGGACAGAAGAAACACATATGATTAGCTATTTCGTCTTCCTGATTGCAGATGTCACAGATTGCCTCCTGAATAATGGTTTTCTTCAGCAAATTTTCTTTTGTGGACAGGCGATTACGGACCAGAAGCCATGCGAAGAGTTTAACTTTTAGAGGTGCTCTGCATTTCCAAATAAGATCCCAGATTGGAGATGGCAAGCCAGGGGGTAATCTTGCCTCATAGAATTTCCTAGTTGTCAACTTTCCTAGCTTTGCACTGAGGCGGAAATCCATCTCATCGCTCAGAGAGAAGTTCTGCAGCAATTCCTGTAAGCAGCCCAGCTCTGCCGATGCAGTTTCAGATAAACGTGGAACAAGATTTTCAGAAATTCCTATGTGAAGGGCTTCCTTTACTGAGATTTGTCTGTCACACACGTGGGAGAAGAGATTGCTGAACTGACTTGAAAAGCTTTCAGTCGAAAACCATTTGTTGTACCAAAAGGAGGTTCGCTCACCATTTCCTACCACGACTTCCGTCAAAGATCGCAGTTCTGGCAACAACTTTTGAAAGGATGCCCAGTGATGCCCTAGACGAGTTGAGGACAGTAACGAGGAATCTGAAATTTCGTCCCAGACCCATCGAGTCCAGGAGGTCTTCAAGTTGTAGAGGGCAAGGAGTCATTTGAGAAGAATTGCCTCGTTCTGAATCTTTAAGTTCTTAATACGAAGTCCTCCATGTTCTTTTGGCTTGCAAACTGATTCCCAAGCAACCAGACATTTTGCTCCCGAGCAGACATCATCCCCTGTCCAGAGAAAAGCCCTCCGTCGTCTATCAATTTCTTCTATAATTTTTGGTGGAAGTTTGAAAGCAGACATTGCATACACCGGCAGGCTGCTCAGGATTGCGTTTATCAGAACAAGCCGCTCCGCCTGCGATAGGAGAGATGCTTCCCAACCAGATAAGAAACCATCAACCTTGTTAACCAGAGGCTGCAAGTCCGCTGCAGACAGTTTATGAATTGATAAGGGAAGTCCAAGATAAGACATCAGAAATTTCTCCAGCTTGCACTGTAGCAATCCCGACAAAACTAGTTCCTTGCTTTGATCGACATTTAGAGTAATC